TGAGAACTCTCTGGGTCCTATCCTGTAGCCAGTGCCATACCAGCCTCTGGCTTCTTTACTATTCTTTCCATCCACGACCAGCAGACACACCAAATGCATGTGCTTGCTCAGCCTAACAAAGGGTTTTTCAGCCTGAACATTGGCATCCCAGGCAACTAAGCTGAGAGCCTCACAACTCCACTGCAACCAGCAAGCCTCAGGCTTGTCAAAGATGTGACGGGTCTGGGCTTTCCATAGCCAGGAGTGAGTGAGCGAGCGAGCGAGCGAGCGTGTGCGTGCGTGCGGTAGCTGGAGGTTACGGTGCCTCCTACCCACCTTTCACCAAAGGGATTTTTGGTCCTGGCATTTCCCAGGGCTGCTGCACTGCCAGCAGTCCCACCAGGCCTCCCTGACCCTGGCAGAGTGCAGTTTTAGTGGTCATGCCCAGAACCTGGGGCCTCCTCCTTCCCCAAAGCCCCAACCCATACCTTCAAGTTTGTCCTGGCACGGAAGCTCAGCAGGACATGTTCTTCCCCTGCTGGCTGGTGATGCAGTGAGTGCCCTCTCCAGCTCTGAGACAGGGGTATTCAATGTTTTTTTAAAAATTTAAAAAAGGAAATAGGTACAGATGGAGTGAGGATGGTGGCATTCACTCCATCTGCACCTGGAGCTTGGGGAACCTCAGCAGCGGAAGGTTCACCTTGAGGAACACCAGCTGCTCCACCAAACCAGGATTCAAGCAGGTACGATGGGGTGTCACAACATCCCTAGCAATGCTGAACACCCTCTCACTCAGCACACTAATTGGTGGACAGAACAGATGTTTGTGAGCAACCGTGGCCAGATCTGGCCGCGGCTTGCCTAGTAGGCCAAGGGGCTGCACAGCAGTGGTTCCACATCCTCAGTGACATAGGCAGCCACCAAGGCCTGAGCACTACCTGCCTGATGGTGGGGTCTGGTGCCTCTGGACCCCACCATGGAAGCCATGCCCTTTGCCCACACTGGCACCGCCTGTGGTGGAGGAGGAAACTGGCTGGTGGATGGCATGCTAGCATGGGACAGTGAATTCCCCCTCTTCCTTCAGCCGCCTCACCAGTGCCTGCACGTCTGGTAACAGCGGCTTGCCCCAGCCAGGAACATTGATGCCTTGGAAGCTTTCCATTTGGCTCTGAAGTTCCTTCACTATGGGGATCACCTGGCTAAGGAGAGCATTGCCAGTGCTGATGGTCCTGGTGACCTCAAGGAAAGGCTCTAGGGGAAACTTGAGGGGTGTGGAGCACAAACTCAGATGATTTCCCCTCCTTCCCCAGAATTTCCCTTACTAGGGCACTGAGATCCGGATCCAGCTCTTCCTCTGGTACGGGAAGGCTCAGCATGGGAAGTAAAATGGGGGTGGAGGAGGCTGTTGTGCTTGTGGCAGAAAGCCACCTTGGTTTCTCCCCAAAACTCTCTGCCCTGTAACCATGTGTTTTAAATCTCTGCCCTGTAACACTGTGACCAAATCTCTGTGCTGTGACCAGTTGATTAGGGTGGGCCCAGGAGAGGAGACCACACCCTCAGCCTGTCTCTTTAAGGAACTTGAGCTGGCTGCATTCCTGAGGGAGGGGGGAAACCTGCTCCCTCTGCCTACGTGACTGGTACCTGGGTGAGGGGCATCTACCTGGGGAGCTGGAATCTGCCCGGTAACAGGTGATGCATTTCAAATTGGTTGGCTGACAGCCAACTGGGGCTGACCTCCGCTGGCCCAGGTGAATGAGGTCACAGGGGCTATATAAGTTAGGACGGGGAACGAGGCGGTCTCTTCAGCCATGAGGTGAGGCTGGAGCCATGAGGGGGGGACTCAGAGGAGCATAAACATCGGAAAGGGCCCTCTCCCCCAAAAACTCATGAACAAGGAACAGCCGGACGCTAGAAAGGATCTCATCAGCCTCTGGAAGAAGTGTGTGAGTAAGCTACTCGAGATCTGATAGATATCTAGCTGGCAGTAATTTAGATGCGTTATCAAAAGGCTACCACAGCCAGACTGTTTGCTCTTTAGGATTTCTAGATATTGCTCTATCCTGTACCCTAGTTTACCCTACCCCCTGTAATCAATAAAGTTCTCCTTTTTGACTGGTGTGGGAGACTTATTGAGGGGTGGGTCTAAATTATGCCTAAGAGACCCCTTAGGTCTGCGGACTAAGGGAGACTTTCCTTTTTGCCCCTGGACTTGGGGAAGTGCCCCAAGTGCCTGTATTGGGTCGAGTACCCGTAGGACTATTAGGCCTGTGTTTCCCCGAGGATACAGGGCCGAGACAGTCCACTCTCGGGGTGGTGGTGGCACATTACCCCCAGACTAGCGAGCGTGCTCCGGGAGAGGGGTCAGCCGGACATAAGGTGGCCCTAGGGAGGCATTCGGAGCCTGGAAGGTGGTCGGGCGCAGGGAGGTGGGCGGCTTGATGCAGGAGCGCCCCCTACTGGCCCGCCTCATGTGGTGGAAATAGCAGTGGGATGCGAATACCCAGCTGTTTTCCTGAGGTGGGATCTCTGCACCCACCACAGTGCTGGTGCTGCTGCTTCTTGTTGTCATGGGCAGGGGGGCTATGGCTGGTGCTCATGGAGGGGATGAAGTCCCAGGCACAGGCAGTGGCATTGCTCTCCTCTCCTTGCTGTTTATAGAAGCCTCATCTCTTCTAGCTGGAGGAAAGAGGCTGCGTCTCAGTTTGGAGGGTGGCAAACTTATGCTTCTCCCTAAACCCACTCTTCCACTCCTCCCTGAAGTCTTGCCACCACCTGCCTTTCCACCACGGTTCATGGTGTTTTTCATGTCTTGCTTTTCTACAAATATATATATTTATTCACGTTCCTATATAAATTCAATAGTGTGTATGGGTGGGTGGGTGCATAGAAGAAACTATAAACATATAAAACCAAATATAATATGTCTTGCTTCCTATACAAATTCAATAGTGTGTGTGGGTGCAAAGAAACTATAATGTATAAAAACAAATATAAATATGTCTTCCTTCCTAATAAATTCTATAATGTATGTGTGGTGCAAACTATACATGTATAAGAACACACATAATACATCTCTCTTCCTATATAAATTTGATAATTTCATAGATTTCATAGACATTAGGGCTGGAAGGGACCTCGGAAGATCATCGAGTCCAGCCCCCCGACCCAAAGGGCAGGAAGCCAGCTGGGGTCATAGGCTCCCAGTAAGGTAAGCATCCAATTTTTTCTTGAAGGTGTTCAGTGTAGGTGCTTGAACCACCTCTGATGGCAGGCTATTCCAGACCTTGAGTGTGTGTGTGTGTGTGTGTGTGTGTGTGTGTGCGCGCTGCAAGGTACGTATAGAAAACAAATGCATCTCCCTTCCTATATAAATTCTATAATGTATATATGTATGTATGTATGTTGCAAGCTTTTAATGTATAGAAATAAAATATAAAATGCATTTCCCTTCCTATATAAATTAAATTCTATAGTGTAATCCTATCCAATAGAATTATAAAATTGACAAGAATAAATCAATTAATAGAATAATAAAATAAAAGCGTGTAGAAGAAAAAGATATTCTGAAATCCCTCTTGCTAGGCTAGCAAGCAAAAAATGAATGGTAGCCTTTGTTGTCTGACACTGCTGAGCTGCTGGAAAACAGCTCAGTAACTGACCCCAAGGCAGAAAGCAGGTTAGTTCAAACAATGCTGTCTTGTATGCTGTTTTTCCATCCCTCCCCCAGAGCATTAGGATTGGAAGGGACCTCAGGGAATGATCACAGTCACTGGCCAGCTACACAGTCAATATGAGAGCAGTCCTTCCCCCCTCTTCCCCCTCCCTCTCCTTACTTTGTTTCCCTACAGGAAAGCCCAGCTTCAGCTTCAGCTTCAAAACTTGAAACGTTTTGAAACTTTCAAAACGTTTCAATTGCCCTCGTTTCATTTTGGGGCTGTTTCGAAGCCCTCCATTTTGTTTCAATTTCACTGTTTTGAGCTCAAAATGAGTCAAAACAAAACAGCTGGTGAAGCTTCACACAGCCCTAGTTCCCAGGGCAGAGCTCAAGGCAAGGAGTGCCCCAGCCACCCTGCTGTGTGGCCTCCAAGCCATGCACAAACATCAGCAAACGGCTTCCAGTTAAAATACTTAAACCCCAGTCTGCATCGCTACTTCACTGCAAAACCTCATCCAAATCCACTGGACCCCTGCCAGTCTCTAGGGAAGCTATTGTCAACCAGGAGAGGATCTTGAGACCCTTTCAAGGGTGCCATGGGGTACTACACAATATTGGCACTGCCAGGTATGTCAACATGATTCACAAGATAAACCCAAAAATTTCAATAGGAATTCAGAGAATTAAAACCATTCTGTCCTGTTGCAGTCTTCCTGAGTTCTTTGCAACAGAACTGCTCTATTCATAGAATTGGGAAAGATAGTTTCATAGTTTCTAGGGTCAGAAGGGACCTG